TGGCTCAAGTGGTAGAGCGCTAGCCTTGAGCTGAAGAGCTGAGGGACAGCGCCCAGGCCCAGAGTTCAGGCCCCACGACCGGACCCCCCCCCCAAAAAAAAAAAGCTGGAAATGGAAGCAGAAATAGAAGGAGGAAGGATGAACAAATGAAGTCATGATATTCAGTATATGGAAAATGAACTATATAACTTGTGGGCAGGGACAGGAAACAGAAACTAGGGGAAAGCAAAGGAAAAGTGATATTGTCTACAAAGAAGTGTACTCTTTTCCTGACTTTTGAAATGGTAACCCCTCTATACTTTATTTTATTTTATATTTTTTGATTTTTGTTTTGTAGGTCACGGGGTTTAAACTCAAGGCCTGGGCAATGTCCCTAAGCTCTTACTCTACCACTTTGAGCTATACTACTCCATTTCCAGTTTTTGACTGGGTAATTGGAGATAAGAATCTCAAAGGGATTTTCCAGTCTGGCTTTGAACTGTGATCCTCAGATCTCAACCGCCTGGGTAGCTAGGATTACAGGGGTAAGCCACCAGTGCTCGGCTTGTACAACACTTTATAATAACATAAAATTATATTTTCTTTCTTTTTTTTAAAGCTGGAAGTGGAACTGTGGCTCAAGTGGTAGAACACCGACCTTGAGCAAAAAAGCTAAGAGATAATGTAAGGCACAGTACTGGCAAATGAACAACAACAAAAACCTAGAAAGCCTTGGCCCAAAAACACATAAATCAATGGAATAGAAGATTCAGAAATAAACTCACAGCTATAGCCATTTGATTTTCAAGAAAGACAACTTCTTCAACAAATGATACTAGAAAAACTGGATATTTCTATATAGAAGACTCACTGTATCTCTCATTCATATAAAAATAAATTTAAAAAACAATCAAAAATCCATATGTAAGACCTGTAACTTTGAAGAAAACTGGAAGAAAAGATAGGAAAAATCTTAAAGATATAGGTAGAGCTGGGTGCCGGTGGCTCATGCCTGTAATCCTACCTACTCAGGAGGCTGAGAACTGAGAATCGCAGTTCAAAGCCAACCCAGGCAGGAAAAGTTCATGAGACTCTTATCTCCAATGAAACCACCAGAAAAGCAGAGTGGTGCTTTGGCTCAAGTGTTAGAGCGCTCACCTTGAGCTAAAGAGCTGAGGGACAGTGCCCAGGCCCAGAGTTCAAGCCCCACGACCGACCCCTGCCACCTCCCCCTAAAAAAGAAAAGATATAGGTAGAGAAAATGACCTTCTTTTTTTGGGGGGGGTCCGGTAGTGGGGCTTGAACTCTGGGCCTGGGCGCTGTCCCTCAGCTCTTCAGCTCAAGGCTAGCGCTCTACCACTCGAGCCACAGCGCCACTTCTGGCTTTTTTCTTTTTGCTTATGTGGTGCTGAGGAATCGAACCCAGGGCCTCAGGTTTTCAAGGCAAGCACTCTACCACTGAGCCACCTTCCCAGCCCGAGAAAATAACCTTCTTGAGTATGACTCAAATTGCTCCAGAAGTAAGAGTCAAAATTGACTGATATTAAATGTAAATGTTCCTGTACATTGAAGAAAAAATTACCAGAATGGACAACCCACAGAATGGAAGAAAATCTTTACAAGCTACTCATCAGAGAAAAATTTAATATGTAGAATATATATAAAGAGCTTAAAATTGAATCACCAACAATGTTCAAGAGGAAGTGTACTCATTACCTCACTCATGTAACTGTAACCCTCTGTATAGTATCTTTACAATAAAAAAATTTTTTAAAAAATGAATCACCAAAAGAACAAATAATCCAATTAATAAATGGTTAAACAAGCTAAACAGTTCTCAAAAATACAAATCACTAATATATGAATAAATGCTCAACATCTTTAGTCATAAAAATAATGCAAATAAAAATGACAGAGATTCCATCTTACACCAGTAAGAACAGCCATCATCAAGAAAACAAACAAGCCAGGTGCTGGTGGCTCATGCCTGTAATCCTAGCTACTCAGTAGGCTGAGATCTGAGAATCGAGGTTCAAAGCCAGCCTGGGCAGGAAAGTCCGTGAAACTCTTATCTCCGATAAACCACCAGAAAACCAGAAGTGGCACTGTAGCTCAAGTGGTAAAGCGCTCACCTTGAGCTGAAGAGCTGAGGGACAGCGCTAAGGCCCAGAGTTCAAGCCCCACAACCGACAAAAAAAAAAAGAAAACAAACAACAACAAATGCTGGTAAGGATTGGGGAGTAGAGAGTGATGATGAAAGGAACTCTTCATACTTGGTGGGAATGTAAATTAGTACAGCCACCATGAAAACCAGTTTCTCAAGAGAATAAAAATTAATTTACTGTGGTCTTACTATATGACTCTTGGGCTAAAGAAATATAACTCATCATACAATAAAGATACCTGCACACAGATAAGCTATAAAATCAGCCTAGGTACCATACAACTGATGAATACATAAAGAAATGTGGTACATGTTACAAGTGACTAGTAGAAGAGTGAAAAGGGAATATGAAAATTTAATGTGGGAGTGAATATGATTGAAGTATACCATATGTATATGAACCACATTAGAAACCTTAAAATGAGGAAGAATGCAGTTAAGAAAAAGTACAATATGGGGCTGGGAAGGTGGCTCCGTGGTAGAGTGCTTGCCTCGCAAGATGAGGCCCTGGGTTCGATTCCTCAGCACCACATAAACAGAAAAAGCTGGAAGGAAACCACCACAAAACTGGAAGTGATGCTGTGGCTCAAGTGGTAGAATGCTAGCCTTGAGCTGAAGAGCTGAGGGACAAGTGTCCAGGCCCAGAGTTTAAGCCCCACAGCTGACCAAAAAAAAAAAAAAAAAAAAGTACAATATTTCATTCAAGTACATTATAAGTGAGTATGTACATATGTACACATGCATATATCATAAAACCTCTTTCTACAATTAATTTATGCTAATAGAAAGGAAATATGAGGGCTAGGAAGGTAGCTCAGTGGTAGAGTGCTTGCCTTGCATGCATGAGGCCCTGGGGTTTGATTCCTCAGCACCATATAAGCAAAAAAAGCCAGAAGTGGCACTGTGGCTGAAGTGGTAGAGTGCTAACCTTGAGCTGAAGAGCTGAGGGACGGCGCCCAGGCCCAAAGTTCAGACCCCATAACTGCCCAAAAAAAAAAAAAAAACCAGAAAGGAAATTATGATAATAAAAGGAGAGAGGTAAAAAAATTAGAAGGCCCTGTCAGTTCTGTCATTAATTGGGCATTAATTTTCCATATGTGTGAACACTAGGAATATCTGTCCTGAGAGACAGGACAGTTATTATTTTTGAGAGTTTCAAATATGAAACTTGCTATTAAAAAGCAGAAAAATCTTCAGCAGGGACCTGAAGCTAATAAGATTGGAGAGGTAAAACATGGAAAAGAAGAGAAGGCACTCAGTTGTGACAAGAAATATACTAAACCACAGTTCTATCAACACTGCTTACAGCTGAAAGTAATTGCTAAAATTTCCAATTCAGTTAAGATACAAGAACAGAAAAGCTGTATCTCTAACAGTTTTCTTTACTGGGGTAGACAGTAAAGAGGTAGTGAGAAATCTCTTGCACACTAACAGGGATACAATATCAAGAATATATAAATACATAAAGTTGGAGCTTTTAAAGGAAGTCTTGATATAATTAAGTTTTCCTGTGTCTTAAGTGTTTTTGTTTTTTTCTTTTTGCTTATGTAGTGCTGAGGAATCGAACCCAGGGCCTCAGGCATGTAAGGCAAGCGTTTTACCACTGAGCCACCTTCCCAGCCCCAGTGTTTTTGTTTTAAAATATACTTATTTACAAATTCCTGTTTAATCATAATTAGGACAGAAAAAAAGGTCTTATTTTGTATGACAGATCACCTTGAGTTAGATAGCAGCTAAATACAACTTTCTTTTTTTTTGGTCCAGTCATGGGGCCTGAACTCTGGGCCTGGCCGCTGTCCCTCAGCCCTTCAGCTCAAGGCTAGGACTCTACCACTTACGCCACAGTGCCACTTCCGGCTTTTTTTTTTCTGCTTATGTGGTGCTGAGGAATTAAACCCAGGGCCTCATGCATGCAAGGCAAGCACTCTACCACTGAGCCACCTTCCCAGCCCTAAATACAACTTTCTATTGATACTATTTAAAAACTAGTATGTTATCTTCAACTACCTCATAAGAACAGCAAAAAAGTACTCACTTTAGCTTACTCTTGCCTTTAGTTTTAGAAGAACCAGAGGTTTTACTCTTCTTTGGCTTTTCTTCCTTCAGCCTCTCCCCACTGTTCTTCTTCCTGCGTTTCTTTTCACCTTCCTCCTCTGGTCGAACACTAGGCAGTTCATCCTCATTGAGGACGCGAGGTATGTTCTGCTCACCCCGGGCTCGGGCCCTAGCTATGGCCTCTGCTACAATCCGATTTGCTTTTTCTTGCTTCTTCTGGTGCTCCAGTCTTCGGTTTTCCTCCATTCCTGTTTTTCCTCCCGTATGTGGAACAGAGCTTGCTGGCGATGACAGAGCTGCCATTTCACTGGCACTTAAAACTTTAACTACAGAAAGGCCAGAAGAAGCTCCTTGGGAAGAGCCAGCCTATAGAAATAAAGACACTCTAATTTCAACATATTTGCTGTTAAATGGCCTAAATAATCCAGGCTACAAACTAGTTCTCTTAACTAAGAATTCAGAGAAAGTCTTACTAAATCCAGATACACCCCAAAAAAAAAAAAAGCGAGCTTTTTTGTGGGAAAAGGGAAAAATTCTCCCAAATTAAATTTCAGTATGTTTTTTGTCCTGTTGGTTGTGGGGCTTGAACTCCTGTTCCTGAGCTTTTTTAGTCAAGACTAGAGTTCTACTACTTTGAGTGACAGTGCCACTTCCAGTTTTCTGGTGATTAATTGGAGATAAGAATCTCAAGGAGCTGGGTGCCAGTGACTCACCCCTGTAATCCTAGCTACTCAGGAGGCTGAGATCTGAGGATCAAGGTTCAAAGCCAGCCCGGGCAGGAAAGACCGTAAGACTCTTATTTCCAATAAACCACTAGAAAACCGGAAGTGGCACTGTAGCTCAAGTGGTAGAACTAGCCTTGAGCTGAAGAGCGCAGGGACAGCGCCCAGGCCCAGAGTTCAAGCCCCACCACCGACAAAAAAAAAAAGTCTCATGGAAGCTGGGCGCTGCTGGCTTATTATGCCTATAATCCTAGCTACTCAGGAGGCTGAGATCTGAGGATCATGGTTCAAAGCCAGCCCCGCCAGAAAAGTCTGTGAGACTCTGATCTCCAATAAAACACTAGAAAATCGGAAGTGGGGCTGTGGCTCAAGAGGTAGAGTGCTCACCTTGAGGTGAAGAGCACAGGGACAGTGCCCAAGCCCAGAGTTCAAGCCCCATGACCAACCAAAAAAAAACAAGAGTCTCATGGAGGCTGGGAATGTGGCTTAGTGGCAGAGTGCTTGCCTAGCATGCATGAAGCCCTGAGTTCGATTTCTCAGTACCATATAAACAGAAAAAGCCAGAAGTGCTGCTGTGGCTCAAGTGGTAGAGTGCTAGCCTTGAGCAAATGGAACTCAGGGACAGCGCCCAGGCCCTGAGTTCAAGCCTCAGAACTGGCAAAAAAAAAAAAAAAAAAGAGTCTCATGGACTTTTCTGGCTTTTAACTGTGATCCTCACATTTCAGCTTCCTGAGTAACTAGAATTACAGGTGTGAGCCACTGGAGACCGGTTAACTTCAATATCATTTTTTTATGTTCTCATACCTATTATTTTAGAAAAGTTACAACCAATATAGCCATTATTGGTCTCTAGCCTAAACATGAAAAAAGGGGGGAGGAAGGATGATAATCACTTGACTCTTTATCCTCCAAGTGAGAGGCAATTTCAAATTGCTTTTACTTCATAATAATGTTAAGACTGTAAATTAAATGGCTCAAAGACAAACACTAGATAAATCATGTCTTACCTCAAACCTAACAATAGTGCTGCAATCTCTGTATAATTAAAGTTAAGGAATAAAAGACTGCATCTATTTAGTTATCAATTTAGAATGTCCCCACAATAAACAATAAGTGGTGGCTAAGGGTACTAGCAAGTAAGTCTCTCACCTGTGGCTGCAATACCATCTTGAGTGGTACTGAGAGTCTCTGTCCTGGGCTTTGTCCTGGTCCCATTATCTGAGCCTGCTGCACAGAAGAGAGAGTCAATGGCTGGGTTGAGGGTGATTGCTGGGGCTGAGGCTGTGATGATGGAGGCTGTGGTACAATCTGGATTTTTTGCTGTGGCTGTTGCACCTGCAGCTGGATAGTCACAACTTTGGCAGGCTGTCCCTGGGCATTCTTGGCTTGAGTCAGGGCTGCCAGCTGGTTGCCCTGTAATACTATCTTGCCTGGTAGACTCCCTAACACAACATGTCGATGTCCTTGGGGACCTCCAGACTGTGGCTGCTGGAGGACCAGGGTGATGCGTTTTGATTCACCCTACAGTGAAGAAAGGAAATTGCAAAAGACACATATTAAAAAAACATCATACTCGTTTTCTTCATCCTAGATTCAGAAAACTTGAATGTCAGAATATTCCTTTCATTCATCACCCATCTGTCTTGATAAAATCATTTATTGATATCCATTCCTCCCAGTGCGTTATCAAGCCTAATTTTGAAAAACTTCTGATGGGAGGCTCACTATCTTCTAAGGTAATTTTTTAGTTTTTGTAAATCTATAAATCCTTATATTGAACAGAAACCTGCTAACTCTAATATTGCCTACCACACCTTCACTCTTTTGGTCTTCTATTTAGTCTCTATTTTCTTACAACAAAATATAAGAATGAAAGAAAGAGGAGGTGTGGTGGCACCACTCAGGAGGCTGAAGCCAGAGAATCCCAAGTTAAAAGCCAGCCTGGGCTATATAGCAAGACTTATCTCAAATGAAAGACTTAGAGAAAGATAATGTTTTCACAGTCTTGTAAATATAAGTATCAATTTTTAAAGATGTTTCTTTCAGCATCCTCTATTTTTCCCATAAAACTATATCATACATTATTGTGAATTCTCATTTAACAACTATCTTTTCCAGCATACTGTGAGCTATACAAGAACTGTGTCCGTTTTATATTGAAAATCAGCTAGGCTTAGGAACTAGGCACAGTAAACATGTGAGAGCTCAAAATACATTTACATTAACTGCTTCCATCTAACGGGTAGTAGTATGTGGCTTGTTAGCACTAACTGATGAAAATCAAAGATGGAGCTTAAACAGTTTTTTTCAGTCAGCTCTCACAGGTGTTCAATCATAAAGTTGCTGAGCCCTCATGAAACCAAAATTCACCTCCCCCTTTCACTCAAGTCACCTGAGTAGGTGTAGAGGTCAGTGTAACTGCAGGCTTCAGTGGGGGCCCTGCGGCCCCAGGGTTTCCAGCAGGAGCTGAACCCTTAACTGGCTGGAGGACCAGCTGCTTTACTGGTCGGCTGGGCTGGACAATGCGCTGAACAGCAGCCTGGTTCCCAGGGACCTTGGCGGCCAACACTGTATTACCAGAGACAATGGAAACACCTGGTCGAAGGGGTGTGCCAGTTAGCACTTTGGTAAAAGTGACTTTTCCACCATTGGCTGTGCCAGCCACCAGGGGCTGAGCTGTGCTGGTGATACCTTGAGCCTGAATTTGTGCCACATGGGCACCAGTGACTGAGGAACTTGGTGGGGCCTTAAGGATAACAATCTTAGGGGCTGACTGAGGTGGTTGTCCCCCATGATTACTGGAGGGGATAGCTGTGGCAGAGACACCCATGAAAGGATTCCCTTGGCTCAGGATCTCCGGGCTCTTGGAGACCTGCAGAAGTCCTGATGTTGGCGTAGATGTCTGTAAGACAGGTTGGGCTGGCTGTTCCTGGCTGGTGGGCTGAGTGGTATAATCATGCAAGGTTAAGGATTCTGGAGCTGGAGCTGTAGATTCTTTGGGAAGTTCTGTGGGGGCTGTTTCCTCTGGTGGAGGGACCAGGCCACTTGCTGATGAACTCCCCACATCACCACCTCCACCATCCTGGTTCATTTGATCCAAGGAGTCCAGAGAACTTGGCAGTCCAAGGGCTTCCTCAATAGGATCTTGAGTAACCTGGTTAAAGCTATCATCAGTCAGAGAGTCCAGCCCAAATAAATTTGGGTCATCAAACAGATCCATGATGGGGTCCGCCATCTTGAGGAAGTAATAGAAGGTATTTTCCCAATGTCTAGGAAAGGAAGGGGAGGGGGGGCACTGGTTCTCCCCTCCCCTCCCCTATTGAGAAAAAAATATACACAATGAAAGAGAATTACTCTTCAGCAAAAAGTCAAAAAACAAGTACATGTCAGATTGTCCTGACCTTCATGGAATAAGATGGCTAAGTCTTCAGAGGAAGATGATGGAGCTCCTGTTGTAGAAATACAAATACAAATGGAAAAATAAGCAATGTTGGTAATTTCAGAAAAAACCTCTCCTTCTTAGGTGCCATCTTAATTTCAAATAGTAATAAAATAAGGAAATATCACATTGGATAAATCTGAGGACAGACATATAGCTGAAAAAACATCCATCTCCTGCCTCAAAACACTGATAAAGAAAATAGAGGGGCTGAGGTAGAGTGCTTGCCTTGCATGCATGAGGTCCTGGGTTCGATTCCTTAGCACCACATAAGCAGAAAAAGCCAGAAGTGGTGCTGTGGATCAAGTGGTAGAGCACTAGCCTTGAACTGAAGAGCTGAGGGACAGCATCCAGGTCCAGAGTTCAAATCCCACAACCAACAAAAAAAAAAAAAAAGAAAGAAAAGAAAATCGAAGGGGAGTCCAATCTTGACTTAAACTATCCTCCTCACCAGTGAAGTGTACTCTCTTTTGATGCAGCTGCTCCTCATCCAAACTGGCCACCTTACCATAAATGTGGAATTCTTCACTGATAAACTACTCTTTACTATTAAAAAAAAAACTTTAAAAAAATATTTTTTAAAATAATCCCTTTTGAAGTTTCTGCCAAGACCATTTATCTGTTTTTATCCATTTCTTTCTCTTTGTGTATGTATGGTCAAATTCTTTTGCTCAAGGCTAGCGCTCTACCACCTGAGCCACTGTGCCATTTCCAGCTTTTTTGAGTAGTTTATTGGATATAAGAGTCTCACAGGGGCTGGGAAGGTGGCTCAGTGGTAGAGCGCTTGCCTTGCATGCATGAGACCCTGGGTTCGATTCCTCAGCACCACATAAGCAGAAAGAAAAAAGCCGGAAGTGGTGCTATGGCTCAAGTGGTAGAGCACTAGCCTTGAGCTGAAGAGCTAAGGGACAGCGCCCAGGCCCAGAGTTCAGGCCCCACGACCGGACCCCCAAGAGTCTCACAGAATTTTCTGCACAGGTTGGCTTCAAACCACAATCCTCAGATCTCAGCCTCTTGTATAACTAGGATTACAAGCCCGAGCCACCAACGCCAAGCTCTATCTAGTTTTCTTTTTATAATTATATTTCTTAGGTGGAGATGAGGAAATGCAGAATTCATTTACTTTCTATTTTCAGTTGTAAAGTTGTACCAACAGCATTTCCATGAAGGCAGATAAAGGTTCTTTTAATATAATTTTATCGAGGAACTTTCAGAGTTTATTCTGGTAAATATAACAATCTGTACATAGAATTTCATCCTCTTTTAAGAAACCTTTCTCATATGTAAGATCATCAAATTTCTTCACAAAGGACTCAACATTCTGGTTCCAATTTATATCCCAACTCTTTCAGTTGGACTCTTTCCAGCCCAACTACATAGTTCTCGTAATATGATCCCTACCTATATGACTTTGTCTATTATGCTGTAGTTCCTGCATGATACACCTTCCTTTACCTGCTCATTGCTACCCGAAAGATCTCTCAGCTTAAACAGTACCCCTCCTACAGTTCTTCTACTGTATAAAATAAACTTAAACTTCTGCCTCTTTAGCAACTAAGCAATTTGTGATTACTTGAACCTCCATATCCTTTAAATATACACACCATTATTTACATCTTTTTTAAAGCATTTCTATTAATTTTACTATAACCGCCTAAGGTTCTTGTCATATTAACTGAAGGCCCATATAGTTGCTTTGTGAAAACTATTAAAACCTGCTTGTAACTGGATGCTGGTGGCTCACACCTGTAATCTAGCTACTCAGGAGGCTGAGATCTGAGAATTAAGGTTTGAAAGCCAGCTTAGGCAATTAAGTCCATGAGACATCACCAGTTAACCACCAAAAAAGCCAGAAGTGGAGCTGTGACTCAAGTAGGAAACCATCTTATGCATAAGATGGTTAGGGACAGTGCTCAGGCTCTGAATTCAAGTCCCAGAAGTGGCAGGAAAGAAAGAAGGGATGGGAGGGAAGGGAACAGGAGGGGAGGGAAGAGGAGAACCAAAGACAGGGAATAATACCACCACATAAATGAACAAGAAATAACTGGGCTTTTTTTGTTTTTGTTTTTTGGGGTTTTTTTTGCGGTTGTGGGGCCGGAACTCAGGGCTTGGGCGCTGTCCCTCAGCTCTTCAGCTCGAGGCTAGCGTTCTACCACTTGAGCCACAGGGCCACTTCCTGCTTTATCTGCTTATGTGGTGCTGAGGAGTCAAACCGAGGACCTCATGCATGCAAGACAAGCACTCTACTACTGAGCCACCTTCCCAGCACAAAATAAATGTTCTTTGATGTCAGTGTTTGACAATCCAGGAAAGTCTTGCTTGAAAACACTATTTCTCTAAACTTTTGGAAGACATCAGATAAGAAATTTGTTGGAGGAAGTTGGGCACCGGTGGCTCACACCTGTAATCCTAGCTACTCAGGAAGCTGAGATCTGAGGACCAAAGTTCAAAGCCAGCCTGGGCAGGAAAGTCCATGAGACTCTTATCTCCAATAAACCACTAGAAAACTGGAAGTGACTGTGGCTCTAGCAGTAGAGCGCTCGCCTTGAGCTGAAGAGTGCAGGGACAGCGCTCAGGCCCTGAGTTCAAGCCCCATGACCAACAAAAAAGAAAAGAAAAAAAGAAATTTGTTGGAGGCACAGTATAAGTTTGACAGGAGACTTACATGTAACCCCTAAATTGACTTTTACCCCTTCCTCAGACCATTGCATTTATTCTTACAAAACAACATAATGTAGGGTAATATTTGAGAAACTCTAACATAAAGAGAACAGATTCAGTAGTGGGCAACATCAGTTCCTGGCATATCAGTAAAACAAAGTATACCAGGTACCCACCAGTGCTAAGCAACATTTCCCTAGGTCAAGTAACTATATACTTTTCACACCTCAAGATCCACGTCCCTTCCCACTCTTGGCCAAACTATTCCAGAATTACTGGAATTCCAGTATTACTGAATTCCAAAATTACTTTTTTTTATTTAATTAAAGCCTATTCAATAATTCTACACATTTTATAAATACAACCATCACTTATTTTTTCTAGTTATCTCCTGCTTTGCTTCTGTTTTTCATTATAATGAGAGAAGTTACACTAAATTTCTAGACTTAAGTGTCACACAAAAACTATAATCAGGTGCTGGGAAGGTGGCTCAGTGGTAGAGCGCTTGCCTTGCATGCATGAGGCCCTGGGTTCGATTCCTCAGCACCACATAAGCAGAAGACAAAAAAAGCCAGAAGTGGTGCTATGGCTCAAGTGGTAGAGTGCTAGCCTTGAGCTGAAGAGCTGAGGGACAGCGCCCAGGCCCAGAGTTCAAGCCCACAACCGGACCCAAAACAAAAAACAAAAACTATAATCAAAGTTTTCTCTGACTAAAAGTTATTTCTGTTTTGTTTTTGTGCCAGTTCTAGGGCTTGAACTCAGGATCTGGACACTGTCTGAGTTTTTCTTTGACTGGTTACAACTTTTTAAATATTTTTGTTATCTTTAAGTAGTTTAGAAAGGAGTTGCCATTCAACAAAGCAGTTTGTGAACATAGTGCATCTTGATTGTCTCTGAGTTTTTTTGCTCAAGGATAATGTTCTCCCACTTGAGCCACAGCTCCACTTCTGACTTTTTGTTGGTTAATTGGAGATCAGAGTCTCATGGACTTTCCTGCCTGGGCTGGCTTGGAACTGCAATCATCAGATCTCAGTCTTCTTAGTACCGAGGATTACATATGTGAGCTACCAGTGCCCATCTAACTAGAAGTTTTTGCTGATAGTTTAGAAACAACACCTTGCTATTTTTTCCACCTAATGCTTTCCTTCTTCCCTGTGATGGCCAAATTTGAGAAATCTCACTTGTTTATAATTTGTACTAAGTATATTTTTAAAATTTTTGAAATCTGAGACAGGGTCTCACTATGTTTAACCAGCTGGTTTTGAGTTTGTTATGTAGTACAGGCTGCCTTAAACTTGGAATTCTCCTTCCTGAGCCTCCTAAGTGCTAGAATTTTATATTCCTTTTCACACTGAGCAGAGATCTCACTTATTTTTTCTTTTTGTGGTATGGGGTCTTGAACACAAGGCTTGAACACTTAGCTTTTTTGCTTACTATTGGTGTGCTACTACCTAAGCCACACCTCCAGCACAGCTTTTTGCTGGTTAATTTGAAGACAGAGTTTCATAGTTTTCTTCTCCAGCTGGTTTCAAACCTTGGTCCTTAAAATCTCAGCCTCCTGAGTAACTAGGATTATAGATATGAGGCACTGGTGCCTGGCTAAAATTCCCCCCCCTTTTTTTTTTGGTGCCTGTCTTGGGGCTTGAACTCAGGGCCTGAGTGCTTTCCTGAGCCTTTTTTGCTCAAGGATAGTTCTCTACCACTTTTGGCACAATTCCACTGTAGGCCTTTTGGTGGTTAACTGGAAATAATAATCTCATGTGCTTTCCTGCCCAGGCTGGCTTCAAACCAAAATCCTCAGATCTCAGCCTCCTAAGTAGCTAGGATTACAGGCGTGAGCCATTGGTGCTTGTCATAATTGCATTGTTTTTTGTTTTTATTTTTAAAATAAGAAACAAGGCTAACAATTTCTGAAGTAACTCCTTAATCATACCCTCATATGACTCAATCCTTTACTCCTTGCCCAACTTACAGATCAAATTTATGCTTCTACTGGTTCAGTCTAGGCTCAGTAAGTCAAAAACTTTACACCAAGTATCATTACTTCTCCATCCCAATTCACCTCTACTGACCCAATTAATTTCATACATATATTTTTTAAGTATACAGAGTAAATTTATTTAAAAATGTAAAAAAAGCCATGAAAGAAAGTAGTGGGGCTCTTCTTGTGGAAAAGGACCAAAGAAAAATCCAACAGTCTTCTTGGTGGAAAC